AAGTTCGTACGTCGCGACGCGTTGAGATGGGGTGTTTGTTGATGGCATCTGAGTCAGAATGTGGAAATCGTGGCAAGTAATCGCTCGATGCGTGCAGGGTTGCCACTTTAGTAAATTATTACCAAAATTGGTAGACAAAAATTGGTTGGTGAAAAGGTATTTTTTTTTTATTTTGGTAGATTTTTGTTAAAGTATTTTGTTAGAAAAACAAATAAAACTTTCCGTTCCCACTCTATTTTTCGTAGTTATCTTTACATTATAACTTGCTTTCCAAAAGTATAGGCTGCTTTATTGCATTAGTTTTCGAGGCGAACATATCGTGCTCCATTCAAAATTCATTTTCCTGGAATACTGAGCAGCTGTTGATTGCCTAAATATTTTTAACGATTCTTTAAGGGCCAATTTCACAATGCGTAGTTAACTCAGAATCGGGAGTTAATTACAGATTTTTGTACTGAAAATCTCTAGTTAACTTTCGATTCTGAGTTAACTACGCATTGTGAAATTGGCGCTAAGTAAAAAGAAAAAAATGGATAAGAATGTAATCATAATTTTTCACACAAAATAAAAAAATCAAAGTTTTTATAAATGGTAGTTGTTAAATGAAAAAAATAAAATTTGTTAACTTTGTTTTTAATGTTGTGTAAAGACTGAATGCTTGATTTTTATGGGCGCAAACAATATTCTTATACAAAGAAATAATTTTTAAGCCAAAAACGCAACCGACTTCAACTCTCATATACCAATTTAGGAGTTCCGTTAATTTCTTCATGATCCAATGATCAGATCTAAACCAAACTAGTATGGGACAACCCTTGAGGTACTCCCATAGAAAAATACTTATGGAAATCGTTTGACGTGGGCCAAAGTTATGCGGTAACATAATATACAAAAAAAAAATTCTGACGAATTGATAACCTCCTCCTCTTTTAAGACGGTAAAAAGAATTTAAAAAAATTTATACTTGAAAAACATTGTGAATATAAAAAAACTCACTAAGAATTTTTTGAGCCACTGTATTTGTCTGCCTTTAGTTTCATTACTTTCACCTTTGGGTGAAGGAAACTAAGAAGATTTCATTGATATGATCTCAAATACCATATGATTAGACAAATAAAAAGTTGCTTAAGGGCTGTTTGCAGCTATCAAGAAAAATCACAAGAAATATTTCTCATACTTCTGTTGGGTGAAAAAGCACTTTGTTTTTGCAGTAAATTTTCTTGAAGAAATAAACACTCTAGCATTTTTTTCTTGAGAGCTGCAAACTGACTTAAGAAATTTTGATTGAAGAAACAGCCCTTAATACAAAATTTAATTTTTTACTGAAATAACTGAAAAAATAGAATAAAACTATAGTTTTTATTCTCTTCAAATAACTAGAAAATGTTGTTGGTAGATATTTTCCAAATTTGGTAAATTTTTTTCAAGTAGAAGGTAAGTATTTTTTTTCGTCAGTGGCAACCCTGGATGTGTGTAGAAATTAGAGAATTGTAGAGAGAGAGAGAGAGAGAGAAAGAGGGAGAGCAGAATACAACACGAAACCTTTATGCTCACACGCGAAATTTAGCTACAAAATTGCAACAATTTGTTATACTGTATATTTCGGATATAAGCACAGCTGCTTCCAAACGGAGAAATGTTTTTTTTTTTTTTTATATATAGAAAGCCAGCTTATGCATTACGAAATAGTAGTTTAGAAAGATTTTTTTTCTTGAGTTCGTGCTTATATTTTTATAAGTAGTTATATATGGTGGTGGGCCCTCAAATATTTACCAATTTAAAATGCTATAGATTTGTTCATTTCTTTTTTTATTTACAACCATCAGATCATCATAAAAACATGTCAAATTTTAAGAAAAGTGCATTGCTGTTAGATTTAGTCACATTCAGCGCGCACAATTTCATTGAGTCTATCTGAAAATGATTCACAGGCTGCACAAATGTAGTCTGGTTATTTTTCCCCAGTGGTGGCGAATAGCAATCTTCACGGCGTTGGCCTCGAGAATGGGCCATACGGAAAAATCCATTGCTTTTAATTTTTATGAATATGGTGGCCATTGTTGTGAAGAAATGAAGTTGGGAACATACGTGCAACATGTGAAGCATTACCGGGCAGACTCGATGCTATTATCCGCGCCAAATATGGCTACATCGAACTGTAATACACTTTTCCTGTGATGAGGAACGGATATTTAAAAAAAAAAAATGTGATTGAAAAAATTTACCATTGTTTTAGCTCCAGTATTACCAAGACGGGAATTAATTTATGTGGGGTGCTTGTAAGCAAGAAATACTGTACGAGTAAGTAGTTAAGGACGGCGCAACGAGTGCGGAATTGGGTGGGCACCAAAATATGTAAACATTACTTGCCGAGTGAAAGGATAGTAATGAAAGCATGCGAGAGAAACAAATCGTGCCTGAAAATGAGAGCGCCATTATGTTTGAGTGTGTGTTGCAGAGTGTAAATTAAATGTATGGCTTTTGCCTTCGTGCCATGCACGGACACAGCTGTTCTTTGTTTTGTAGCTCCTATGGCTTATTTTTCGATGCCCTCCATGCGTTGAAAGAAAATACCACACTTATAAAAGGGTCAGTTTAGAATGCCAGTCATAGATATTATGTTTAGAGATGACTAATTTCTGCCACTAATCCAGCATACAAATAGGTATCTAAGGCGCTAGGTGGTTAAAATTAGATTACGCCACCAATTGAAGATCTCTGGGGTAGACGATTTCTTAGCAAGCATTGATGAAATACGAGAGGAGCTATTTAAACCTTAGCCTTGCGAAAGTAGGGCAGCTGAGTTGGAAATGCTAAATAGATGCAATCAATAGGCTCGACAATAATTATCTGTCATCCAGAATAAGTTCCCATAGAACAGTGTCCGGTAAGAATTCCTGCCAGAACGGACCGTTAGTTCGCGTAAAGCCAGCTGAAGATGCTACTTTGGTCGCCAGCGGTCGACAACCGGCCAGGTGGGCATTTGCAATCTGCCATGTTGCGATATTCGGATAGAGCTCTCTGAGCTAACTTAAAACTTATCTCTCAAAGAGTGGTCCGTAGGTTGCTGCAGGCACTCCTATGATGTAAAGTTGCCCTCAAGGGTGTCTGCCTAGCAGTGAAATTGCCTACAGTGTCACGGTGCCTATAATTCCACTCACCATATGTTATTAAGAAGAAATCTGAGGTGATCCAGAGAGAAATTAGTAGGCAGTCGGATGCCCCCATTATAGCGCCATCTTTGCTTGATATACGCTGCTGAAATCTAGAAGCCTTAGCTCAAGCTTAACGGAGAGTTTCTGACAGAACGCGCCTGTTTCAATTCCAGGGTACGGAGCATGAACCAACTAACAAGATCACCCAGCACGGCAACCGTGTATTTGTAATTACATTTGAGAAAAAAAAAATAATAGTTGATGACGTCATTTTTTAATCGGTTCTTTCACTCACACACAGGTTTCATTCCGTTTTATCCAAATGGTGGCGAAAAATTGACGTCACTGCAAAAAAATTACTTTTTTCTCGCACGCCGTCCTGGGTGATCTTTAATCGTTCGTTCATGCGCTGAGCTTGCGCAACTTGCCGCGCATCCGGCGAGGCTGCTGGCAAACGAGTACTCATTATTAGCTCTGCCCTCGTGCGCGCGTCGTTGCGAGCGAGGCACTCATTTGCAGAAGCAGACGAGCGAGGCGGGTAGATGATCGAGAATATGATAGGCAAACGGATTGTTTAGTCAGAAAAAAATGATGGGATATAAATTGTATCAACTAAAAATTTCGAGTTAAGGATTGTATGTACACATGCACATATCGTCGTTTAAACTAGCCGTTTTACAGTGACGAGTTAACTCTCATTCAATCTACATAAATAAATATATGTGTACATACATAATGGTGGGCTCGGTTTGAGCCAAGCTGGCAGCCCTGCTCACCTCACGAGTACGAGCTGCGAGCAGTGAGTAGACGTTTGCTCGCTCGATCGCTCGAACTCCGAGTTTTTGCATACCCTGTTAAATTCTAACATCCATCTTTGCGCTATCCGTGAAGAAATATGTTAAGTGGACCTCTGTCGCTCTTCCATCCACCCTTTAGAAGAGTGTATGCCGAGAAGGATCCAATAGGGGCTAGCTTTGCTACTCGCTGAACAGTTTCTTTCGGTGCATATAAAGTCGAAGTTTGCGAGTGCTCATGCGCCAGGCGGAAGAAGAAACAATCAAAGACTTTTCGACTGAATTCCTCCAGATAATTCCCTAAATTTCATACAGCCAGTCAATTACCTTTGGACAGACTTCACACAGCTTCCATATGGCGTTTTTACAGCAGTGCAGAGCAACGTCATATGCACGACCCTTTTACTCGCTCCTCAAAGATTAGCTTTCGGGATATCTTTCTGTGTAGGACCACAACTGCTTGGCCATGTCAGAGACTCTAAATGGAAGGCCATAGATTGAGAAAAGTTAGGCATTCGGCACTTTATACCACTTGGGGAGCTCTATATTTTCGGAATGAATAGCAAGTCCGCTTCCGAGCCATTGGTAGGGCTTCGATTTCTTCGATCTTGGGGTTGCCACCTAAACACAATTTTGGCTAAAGTTCAAATTTTTTTTAATAGTTAAATATATTTTTGTACTTACAGAACGTATGACATTATAAAAGTATTACTCATTACGGCACCTTGTCAATACCTAAATAGTTCAGTTTTAAGGAAAATAACTCTCAAATGCGCTGGGTTTTTAAATGCTGTTAAGGAAACTTTTGGCTTCTCAACTTTTTGTGGCGTTCGTGGTATTTTTGAAAATCATTCTCATTTCTTGTTATTGTTTACAAAAACCAGTCAACTCATGTTGTTGCTGTTGCTTGCAATTTCGGCTATCTCACAGGAATATCCGCAGTGCCAGCCGAGTATGGATGTGTTAGTAATTACGATTACGCTCACGACGAAGGAGTTTCGTGTCGCTTGCACAATTTCGCAATTACTTAGTTGTGGCAAGTTTCAGTTTGTGGCAATCACCGAACGAGAGCAGTTCGAAGCAGCGGTTAAAGCAATCAATGTAACTGGATATCCCAACAAGGCATTGGGGCAACAGCACTTGCTGCAAGCAAGCAGAAGTGCAGGCCGAGAGCGCAAAGTAGGAGCACAAGGCAAAGTAGCCAGTGAAGTGAACTGCTTAAAAAATAAGCAAAATAAAGTAGAACTCAGCTTGAAAAAAAAGAAAAAAAAAAACAAAACAAATCTACCGTGAGGAAGGACAACAAAAGTGTTGTGCATGCAGTGCTAACACAAACAATAACAAAAACTAAATAAATAAGCAAAATAAAAACACCGAAATTTTCATTCCAGATACAGACAAAATTTTTGCTTTCGCAAGGAATATTGCGAAAATGAAAATTCATTCGCTAATATACGAAAAAGTAGTAAAAACATACCTAGTTCAGTGAAAATCTATACATAAAACTGTTGAAGTGGTGTAGTTGAAGCCGTTGATTTCGAGTATTCTTCCAGCCCAACACATTTGGAATGTTGAATATAAGTTTGTTTTTGTTCGCTTGCGAGATGCGATAAGACCAAAAAATTTACACACAAATAATTACAATCATCAAATAGTCAAATCATTGTCGCAGCAGTTGCTGTGACGGCAGCGACGGCAAATCCAGCCACACAATAAGCAGCAGAAAAGGCTACTACAACCCAAACGCAACCAACAACGACGGCAGCGACGATAACAACCGACGCTTGAAAATGTCAACACTTCCGTTTTTGTTGAGCGTCGCCGATGAGCTCGATAACCTCAACTCCCAATCGTACATGGACGACTTCGGGCTGGGCTTCCATCCGCACCGCCAGTACTACCGTACGCCCACCATCCAATTGTCCTTGCCCGCCAGCACCGACTGGATGGAGCATGACCGCTCGCAGCGCTATCGCTCGCATAAATTCGTCTTCGAAACACAAAACAATCTAACGGCCACCGCGGAGGGCGATGAGGCGGAAGGCACCGATGAGGCTGGCAATGGCGGCCGTGGCGGCGCGCTGGACGGCAGCGGTACGGACAATGCGTATGTAGATCGCTACGGCAGCGGGGCAAGCACGTCCGCCGCCAGTCGTCAAAAATACACTTCCCTACTCAACTCGAACAACGACGGCGAAGGCAAGGGAGTGCTCGGCGGCAGCGGCAGTGGCAGCGGCAGCAGCAGCACCAAGGGTGGCAAGCGCGATGACGCCGATGCCATCGATAACACAGTGCAGATGTATAACTTGTCGAAAAAATGTTGCAAGAATTACTATCGACGCGGCGACGAACCGCAGTCGGGCGTACTGACGGCCAAGGAGAAATCCGCAGAAGGCGGCTATCGTTTGCATGCCAAGTGCATGGAGGGCGCCAACTCGTCGTCGGATGAGAGCTTACAGAAGCCAACATCCTCCATTGAATTTTTGACGTGCTTCCTGTTGAAGAAGTCGCGTGCGCCCAAAGGAGCGGGCATCAGCGGTGGCAAGAAATCGTCGTAGGACACGGTTTCGAAGCGTAGAAGCAATTGTTTCTGAATATGTTGGAGAGGGGCGGGTGGCGATGGCGAAGGCGAAGGCGAAGGCAATGGTGACGGTAATGGCGACGGCAACGACGTGGGGGAAAATCGTGGCGTGCCAGGCCGGAGTAATGGTAATGGGGATTGGAGAGCTTGTTGCGGTGAAATTGATTATCAGAAGTGATGGTGGCGAAGATTAGGCGAAGACGAAGGCGAGTGCCGATTGAAGACTGACGATGGACGATTTACGCAGTCACGCGGCTGTAATGTTGCTACAATGCAACTCAACTGAGCAACTGTGCAATCGAGTGAGTGGCGAAGGTTGTAACGTTACACCTTGGCTCTTCGTGCACAGACAAACTGACGCGCTTTCACACTTTATTTGGCAATGAGTTTGCGAAGCTGTCAAGGGTAAAATACAAGGTCTTCGAGGTGCAGACGGGCGTTGAGGGATTACGGCAAAGGTTGGTTGGAGAAATGAAATGCGCCGCAAAAAGTGCAGTGAAAAGGGATTCTCATACAAAGCGAAAGTGAGAAGAAAATGCAGCAGTTTTGATGCATTCGCATATAAAATTTAGTACTTACGCATAACATTTACATATAATCGCATATAGCAATTTGAAATTAGTTGTAAATTGAAAAAAATGTAGACTTATTAGGGCCGTTTTCACCATCTCTGGTTAACACTAAGCTCCAGTTAAACCTCGTTACCGACGTTCTCGACACAATCTTATATGTATGGAGTCAATAACGTCGGTAACGATGTTTAATTGGAGATTAGTCATGCAACGCTAAGTATGCATAACTGGACTATTAACCAGAGATGGTGTAAACGGCCCTAAGTGTAGTAGTGCGTGGTTAAGTGAACGATTAAGGAAAATATTCAAGCGGTGCCTAATTGTTAGTTTCGTAGCTAAAAAAATACCTAAGGCCATAAGCAACTGAACAGCTAAAGGCCGAGTTGGGTTTTTTTTTGAAACTTAGTAAGCTTTAGCAAGTAAATGTTTATAGAATGTTTGTAATGTATGTACGTGTAGCGGTAATTTTTAAAAATTTGCGCAGTTATTTATAAGCAATATTCGCATATACATACATGCATATACATATATATTGTTGGAGAGGCGGTGTTTTGGTGATGAAAAACATTGTATAGTGTTTTTTATTAAAATTTTAAAAGTTCGACATCTAACTATGCGACATTTTTTTATTTTTTTTATGCAGCAAAAATTCATGTAATTTGTGTAAATTCGACTTTGTGGAAAAATAACGGCCTTGAAAGACCGGTAAAAAATTGCAAAATCATTTTTTGCTCGTTGTACCCCCAACTTTGTCTACTAGGATCGAAACAAAGTTAAATGTTGTACAGTTCGGTAACTACTTTTACATTCCCAAACGCCAAGGCTTCAAATTGCTATCTGTTTACAGCAGTACGGACTAATCTCTTAATAAATTTTAGAGTCTTAGGTCTATACGTCATTAGTGAGCGCTAGATCGTCATTAACTTCTCGAAGCGCTGGCCAAGTAAAGCGAATGCAGAACATCATTAAATGGTAATATCCAGAAATTATCAACAGGAAATGTATTGCTTATCGTCACTTCAAGCAAAAAAAAAATAATAATAAATAAGGGCTTGACTTATAGCCTCGATATTTCCGCGTTATTTGCCCATCGCTTATTGTGCCCCTTTATTTCTGTCATTCTGCGAAGGGGGCGTAATCTTGCAAACCATCGTACGCTTGACCTAACAGAGCAGCCCGCTCCGGTAAATAAAATACGGTCACAATAAGTGCTTCCGAAACTGTGGGACATTCGGCTTATATCGCAATAGCACTTCGTCTGTAGACTGATTTGTTGCCCCGACTATACGAACCCAAGTGCAATACATCTGTCCACACATCGGGGACATAAAATATTACGTAGCTCAGAGTGCTCGGCAATCTTTACCTATGTTTTTTTTTTGGTTCTCTGGTATTTAACATAATTCTCGTAGATGTCTTGAATGTGTTTGGGATGGGATCACAAAATGTTTAGCAAATTAATAAAATCTGTATTTAAATAGAAGCTTCGGGGGTACTGCGCATTGTACTTACAATACTCACAGCACCGCTTTTCCAGAGTTCTCCAGATATTGTTTTCTCTGATATCGGTTTGACCAAATGTGAAGCTTCAATTTTCACGGGAAAACAAATTGCTTCGATGCCAGGCCTACAGATAATTGCAAAGCTTTGATTCAGTTCAATAAAATTGCAATCTAAGACCTTTTCCGCAGAGACAAGCACTAATACAAAGCCGTCTAAAAGCAGATAGATCATTTGGATTCGATAGAAACACCAATTGCTGAAGCTTCCATCGCTTGGGGAAAACGCTTTTCTTTATAAAGTTGTCTTCACACCTTACGATGACGGGAACCGTTTTCGAACGATTTTAAAGCTGGCTTCAAATTGTGAGGCTTACATATATACCCAACCGGAAAAATGAGGAACGCTGGCAGACCTTCCTTTTGCAAGGTGTATTAGAAGATCTTCCAATAGCGCTGCCATTCGAATTCGGGCGAGAATTTGTATTTGATAAGCAAAGAAAGTCAAATAAAAGTGAAAATGGCAGTAAACGTTTCTATGAGGGTCTGGTGGAAAATATAAACTGTGTCTTATTTATTTCAAGTGAACGTGCCTTTTCTGGGGGAAGCTGAATCAGATGCTCTGGCTATTTGATACAAAAGTAAATGGAATCAAGAAACGCGAATAGAAGACCTCTCGCTTCAAAAGATTGAAAATAACTCTGCCAAGAAGGCTTAATTTGTCCAATTTTGCCCACTGGGTAGTTATGGTAGTTATGCTTACATAAATATACTAGTTAACCCCTTGAGTTTATGCAAGAGAGCGTGGCGTTTATAGTAAACTGAAAAATAGCGATAGATGTAGTAAATTCAGAGAACCATCGTCTTGGACCCATTACGAACAGACAGCTAAACGCAGTGTCCTGTTGTAAGCTAAAAAGGGATACGAGTTTGCAAGAAATCGTAGCACTTCGTCAATTTAAAAATTAAAGCGCATTTCCACTGAAAATCTTTCCTACTGTTTTATATTTTTATTTGTTTGTGTCATAAAATATAGCACTTCTGCAAAAAATGGTGTCGACAGATGGCGCTGTCGTCGAGATATTTAGATACTCCTCTACAAATTTACTTTTTAGATGACTTAATGAAGCCCCACCATTTAAGGATGCATACAAAGAAGGTCAAAATTGTTTTAGCACCTGGAATATTCTAGGCACATTAACAGGTCATCGGTATATTAAGAGTAAATGTGGCGAATTAGAAAGAACACGGTAGAAATATCAATGACCCCATTTAAACGGGAAAACTCTTTCATCCTATGTCTCCGAAAACCTTGCCGTATTTGCAGATATCTCACAGAAAATAAGAGTCCATAGCATCGCAGGAGAAGGGGAATAACAGCGCTGTTATTCTTGGCCTATCAGTAAGGAAGGTCCTGCTTTTCAGTCCATTCAACCTAAACGAATAATTTTTACATTACACACCGTTTTTGCGCTTCAACACTATTTTGTATTGGTCAATGTAAAAGTTCTTATCAGGCGTCGCGAAGCAAGCCAGGCATTTGCTAGTTTAGTAATAAAACTGAAATGAAAACATCATTTATGAGCAAAATTTCCCAACGGTCAAACCAAAAATCGTAGAAGTTCAAATTATATACCGGCCCATATTTAAGGATTAACCAACAATTATATGCCGTCACAAAGTTTTCGCTTCCCTCAACTTAATTCGGTCTTTAAAGGGTTAAACGAAAAAATTATGTCGTGCCCACAATTCGTGTCCTGGCGTCTTTTAGGTGGCGGGATTGTATCTAGGACTCCGATCTGGTGTTCGGCGAAGATCATTGAATTGAAGTACATATTTTGTTGCATGTTTTATTTTTTTAACTGATTGAATAAAATTAAGGGAAACACGCTATTTTTCCAGCACCAATACACCTCTTCAAATAACCCAACTAATTATGATACAAGAAATTTGTAACCATTTCCCAGATGCATGCAAATTTTGCATGCCAGTTTTTTTTTTTAAAAATAATAATTGCAAAAAGAAAACAAAAAAAAAAATAAATTTTGTACCTTCTTTTATACCAAGAACCAGATATACATGCATACATACATATGTGTTTTTATACCAGTAATTAAAGGAATTTAGAGCAAATTATTGCATACATTAAAGCCTAAAAAATATATGCAAAGTGCAACAGCATTAAGAAAATAAGGAAATAAATTGAATAATTTTAAGAGAATAAAATGAAAAGAAAATAGAACAGAAAACGCGCTGAAGTCATTGAAATACATACAAATACTAGGCTGGACCACCTTAAAAAACAAAAAAAAAATGCCGTACATCCCTCTCGAATGATTATTAAAAAAAAATTATTCGTTGTCGAATATAGGCGTCACCAGAAGAAAAGCAAAAAAACATTTTACCGAAATTAAATTGAAAAAATAGTTTAGGTTCGAAGGTGTACTGCGAATATTTTTTTCTGGTGCGGTCTAATACACACACACACATACAGATATACATATTCACGAGTATAATAATGAGCTTCAAAGAAAATAAAAATATCACTAGCAAATAAAAATGAATACTGAAAATTTTAAAAAATGAAGATCCTGAAAGGGCATTGCATTTCATTGGCGAGGAAGAAGTGTGTTTGCAGGCAGGCTGCTAGAAGACCTTGCTCCATTTAATGCACCTTCATATGTACATCCATGCAAGGGTCTTTACTAAAAGCAACAACAAGCAAGCAGCTAGTTGTAGCGGTAATCGAATGACAACCCTTCCTTACCTTTTCTGAATTGAGAAAATGAAAACAGCTTAGCATTGTTGTCGACGTTGTTGTTTTTGCAATACAAACAGTTATTTACAGTTGTGCAAAAACAATTACAAATACATATAGAAATGTGACGAAAGTCAGCAATGCAGTGGAGCAGTGAATCACCTGGAAAGTCTGTCAGTCAGAAAGTCATTTAAGCGCGAAAGTTTGACGTCGATGTTGACGTTGGTGATTTAATGGCAGTAAAATTACGATTTGACGAAATCAATTTCGTTCATTCAAGCGAAATCTTACAGCTCGATAGGTATGCGATGTACACACATACTTATGTATGCTAACTCAAATGTACATATGTACATAAGTACATAGTTGGTTAGTGAAAAGCGGTGAAGCGCTGCAACTCAGCGAACGAGTCAAACGAAATGCAATCAAGCACTCACTCTTTGGTGGCATGGCATCGATGTCACTAACTCGAAAACATACATACATACATACACAAAAGTTGGTAAATGGTACAAGTATGCACACCTACAAACCCACATATGTATGTATGTATGCACATGAAATGTAGCATTGAATAATACATAAATAAATAAACCAAATAGGTAAAATTAAATAAATACGTACAGTAAATCAAAGTGAAATTACAGACCAACAAAATCGGAACACAAGTAAAGTAAAGTAAAATAAAAAAGGAGCAACGTATCTCAAAGCAAACGCAACAAATAAAACCGCAAACACCTACACACATACACATCCACACATAAATTTTTGGATGGCCACATAATCAGACAAAAATGGCTTTCATGATGCAAACAAGCCAGAATGAACGCAAAACAAAAGCGCTTAAGGCCGGCTTATCACGGCTCTCAAAAGTCAAAAAAAGAAAAAATCAAAAACAAACATAAATAAGCAACAAAAGCAATACAAACAATGCATTGCAGAGCGGCATCGTAAAATATGGTATTCTGGCAAATATAGTAGGATTTGAAGAAAAACAAAAACCAAAATAAAACCATAAAAAAGCAAAGTAAAAAAAAACCGCAAACAAAAAGAACGCCAGTACAGTACATTGAATTTGAAGGGTCTGCAAGGAAGAGTGGCAAAAATTGACTTAAAGCGAAAGTCTTAAATATGAATGAGTCTTATTTGAATGAATGAAAAATTCGATAAGCCACGGAATGAGCAAATACACAAACTCAGTCCTAAGCAAAAGCGTTTAGAGTTGTTTGTTGCTGGTGCTTCACAAAAAAAAAAATGTCATGAAAAGTTAATGTTAACAATTTGTTTTTCTCGGAAGATAATATCATAGAAACCTAGAAACATTTTAATAAATTTATACATATAAATATAGTACTTACATATATGTATGGTTAGTGTAAGTTGGAAAAATTTAAATGTCGACCTCGTTGCAAGAGGCCGATATAGCATATAAGGCAAGGTTATGCTGAAATGGTTGGCGTGCAGATTCTCGTCACACATGGGCTTACAGGTACATAGGTAATACATACTACACTCTAAAAAATCTGTTTAAAAATGCGACTATAAATCGAGTATATTTTTGTTTATTTTTTAAATTTTTTGGTAAATTTACAAGATGAATATGTATTTTTCTCGTTTACACATTTTCATGTGTAAAAATCCAATTTGTTGGCGGCTTTACACAATTCTACGGGTGAAATCAAACAGCAGATGTATATTTTGTAGCTTGTACACTCTTTCGTAGTAAATTTACGCACACCACAGCAGCTGTATTACACTCTAAAAAGTCCGAAATTTAAACAAACTATTCGTTGAATAATCGAGCATGTAATTTCGCGAATGATAAGGTAGGAAATCAGTAACCTACCTTTTAGGTAGGAAATCTACAAAATTTTTTTTTAGAGTGTATACGGCGTAACAAGCTTTATTTCCAGCTGTGAGATCGATATCTGCAAAGTGTTGAAAGAATGATGTCTCCTTGTGTTCTATTTAAAGCCGAGCAATGGCATAAAAGGGTGTTCCATATTGTATGAGGGGTCCCACATACTACGCAGTAGATAATTTCACATTACTTTTTCCAGTCCTTATTGGGTAAGCCGTTTAGAATGGCTTCACTTCAGACAGCCTACCAAATTATATTTATGTTATGCATATACAAAATGGCAAAAATGATCATGAAGCGCATTGTAGGATATTTGTGTAAGTGTGCTATAATGGTGGTAAGGCAAGCATTCCAGACCACGTTAAAAGCGCCAAACATTTTTCCAAGTTACGTCACCGTCAAGAAATTTCTCTTTCCGTTCTTTTATGATAAAAAAAAATTTAGAACTTGAGCGTTTCATCTGCAACAATCATTCAGCTCTACGGATTGTGCCACAAAACTACATTGCTTATAATATCAGAAAATACTTCAAAATAATGCAACGCCAGAATCAAAGAAACTGTATTTAAAGGGAATAAGTGTCCCGGTCGATGGGTTCAGGATTATGGCAGCCCTAAACTACAATGGTAGCCCAGTGTGTCCACTCCCGGTCTAATGATGTGCAAGCCTATAAGGCAGTGTCGCACAAGAATATTTTAACTTTTTGCTCCATATCGTTACCTTAATATAGAAAGGCCCTAACTCATATAGGCGCTGAAATGCAAAAAAGCCGTAACTGATTAAAATTTTTTATTGCTTAAAATGATGTGGGAACTTATAATTCGATGAAATACATCATGATAAATCGAAACAGGAATTTTGGATTTTTACTTAGTTACGGCTTTTTGTATTTCAGCAACGATATGAGATAGGGCCTTTCTATATTAAGGTAACGATATGTGTATTTTTTATTTATTTAAGAAGAGCACTCAGGTTAATTTGTGCACAGTTAGTTAGTTTTAATTCTTTCGTCAACTTTGTGAACACAAAGTATCATAATCCTATGACTTTTTAAAATCTTGAATATGCCGCATTTCTACTGAGCATTAAATGATAAAGTTTAAATGTACAAATGTATTACGCTGATAACAATAGTCATTTTTTAAATGGCAATTGTAATTTTAATTCCTCGCGTAAATTTGGCGTAATGTAGAAAAATTGTATTTTATTATCATTTTACTTGAGCTTGAGACCATTTTAATGAAAAATTATTATAGAAAAGCAACAATAATTGATAATACTAGAAGCTACAGTATTTCGGAGATCACCATACCTCCTTATATCACTTCTTCATCGAGCTCACAAGAATTTTAATCCATGAACTCCGGCTTACAAAGCCAGTGCTCTACCCACAGAGCTAAGTCCGATCCATGCAAACTGGTGCTGCTTTTTTCACCTTTTTATTTGCCGACACATGAACTTAACGGCCAAATAACCCCAATGTGATTCGTAGGTCCGGATGAGTGTTCTCGAGACTACATATCGAGCCCTAACATCTTGGTAGAAACTTAATTTTTTTTTGCATCAAAAACAAAATTAAAAAAAAAATTTGTTGATGTCTTTTTGGCGGTTAGCCCAAAACTAAACACTAAAGAAACATTTTTGAAGCCAAACAACAAATTTTTATCTAAGATACAATTTAAGAGCAATGTCAGGTTTAAAAAGGGATTCAGAGAGAAGAATAAATATTTTTACTTTTTTCGGAAATAATAAATTTGCACAGAAACAATGAAACATAAGTATTTTTCTTCATTGAATTCAGTTATTTTAGGTGTACAAATCTAGGGACTTACGCTGCCTCTCGGTTATTTAAAAAAAAATTTACTGTGGCACCGAAAATATTTTTCTCACTTCTACTGCTGTCGTTATTTCAGTCAAACTCATTTGACTTTTGGTGCTTTCACGAACTTTTTTTTAGCACAGATTAAATAAAATTTTAGAAATCGCCATTGTGTAGTTGCGTTTGACAACGCTTTTTGTTGTCCTGTTGTGATTTCTGATGTACCGCAGGGAAGTCTTTTGGGACCTTCGTGGTTGGTTTCATTAATGACATCGAATTCTGTCTCACCTCCCCTAAATTCAAGAGTTACAGCCACTTTCTTCAATCGGAACTTGACAATCTTTAGTCGTAGTGTAAACAAAATAGTTGGCCTTTCAATGTCAAGCCTTTGGAATTAAATCCACTTTCTGAGCTGGATCCAGCTCTTTTGATTGCAACTTTACATTTCCGTAATGTGGCCCAGGCGAATTTTTATTTTCTTACACTTTGTAGTCATGTATGTATGCCAAATTTAGCACTGACCGAAAAAGGAATACAGCAGAAGATATTCGTTGACGTCGCGAACATAGACAAGTTGGATTCTCACTTTGTTAAAAAAAAAAATTATTCATATTCTCAATTTATGCAATAAAGTGTTATGAAACACACAAACAGGTGTAAATGTAATGGAAGTTTTTTTTAAATAAAAATTATAGACAAGGTTTTAGCATATAAGAAGTAGAAACTTTGCAAAAAAGAAAAAAAAAACAACACTAAAGTATCTAATGCAAGTACACAAATAAGTTTAACTGTTAAATATATTTATTTCCAACGCATAAATGCAATGCTAGCGTTTAGATATATATTTTTAAGCTCATAAACAAGTGTCTATAAAATAAAAAAAAAAAATAAAAAAATCATTTTGGTATTCTAAAAAATATTCTAAATATAATTAGTATGTACTCGTATGACTTACTATCACTAAGAATTATTGTGTTTGAAACTTCCGATGGACGGCGATTTTTGAAATGCATAGCTGCTTGAGCGCGCCACTAAAATATTCACCAGATACATACGTGCATGTATTTGTGTGTAGGAATGTTGCTAATGCATAGTTGGGTTACATAATCGAAATGTGCAATCGAAGTAGAATACTTTGTTAAAAAACTTGCCTCAATTAATGTTGAGATTTCAAGTAGAAAAATTACGATAAGCATAAGTATTAACAACCGGCAAAGAAGTACAGTTATACACACATATTTTCAAATGTAATTGATAATTAAATAAAATCAAAAAGTATTTTAGTTCTTTACTCTTTGCGGAAAAAAAGACGGAGAGTAATATTAAGAGTTAGTGCAAAAGATATGTCTTTATTGCAAAACAGCGAAAGAAATATTTGAAGGTAAACAAAAAAAAAACATAAAAATGCATATCACTTAGTGACATACTTACACAGAATAAACTTCAGAGCAAGAGTAGAATTTTCAATTACCTTAAATACTTGTACTTGTACTTAAGCTCATGCCATGGCCATTAAACTGTTACCCATATCCATACATACATACATACATACATATTTAATAGAAAATTTACTAACAAATGTACTTCAAATACAAACACTTGCATTCACACAAACGTGTGTGTGAGCGAAGCGACTTCAAAGTCAACCAGATATCTAAAATAAAAACAAATAAAAAAAAAATTTCAAAAAAAACAGATCAAAAAAGTACCAAAAAAAAGATGCAAAAGCAGCGACAATTTGTATTTATTTTTCTTAAAACATCACTTGAGTACTTGGTTATTGTTTTTGTTGTTGTTGTTATGTTGGTTAGTGCTTGTGGCAGCAGTGGGCACTTAGTAGCAACACATTTCCTTTCCTCATTTCCGTTCAAAAAATTTCAAGTGCACACAACAAGACAACAGTTGACTAGTTGGCCGACTGGATGGCTGCTGCCACTTGGCGTGCCACTGAAGCTGTTGCTGCCACATACATACATACATACATACTCGTATGTACTATAAATGTCCCATCCTGTTGTTACACTTGCGGCCGCAAGTAGCATTGGTTGAAGTCCTTGCTGTGACCGCCAAAAAGCACTTTAAACAAAATAAAAATAATTGTGAGGACGTGTGTGTGTGTCCCTTCGACTTTATGCGAGTAATGAGTAACACTCAATGACACTTGCAAATAAAAATGTATGACTTTTGGCATA